CCACCCCCGTGATGACCCTGTTACCTACAATAATGTAGCCAGGTTCATAAAATATAAAATGATAAAAACAACACCAGAAAAGAGTTAAGAATAGCCAATTTTATCTAAGTAAAATGAAACTTAAAACGGGGGCTAGATTAAAATAATAATAGAAAAGAGTTAAGAATAGCCAATTTTATCTAAGTAAAATGAAACTTAAAACGGGGGCTAGATTAAAATAATAATAACACTGTAATTAATGTTTAGTGTTCTAATTATGTGTTTCATCTCACTTAATTCTTGGTATCTCCTCTCTGAAGGTGAAGAAACAAAGGAGTATTCTGGTGAAGGATTTGCCCACATTCATCATTTCTAGTCATGGTGGAGAGCCAGGATTCCCACCTCACCGTCTCTTTCATGTCCGTGCCATGGCCTCACGTCTTTGGGGGACAGACTTAGAGATATTGCCGGGTCCTATTCTAACCCCAGTTGTTTGAGGAAGTCCCTTACAGTTTACCACGGTAGTTACAGTTTTCCAACACCACCGGCAATGAATGAGGGTTCCCGTCTCTGCACCTGTTTGTTATATTGAACCTTGCTATCAATGCTACACAAGATTAATCATTGTACCAATCATTGGTCATTATGTTCAGTACTAATCATTTATCGAAAGCAAGTTGAGAAAATCTGCGATTTAATATTTCAAATGACTGCTCAATCTGAGTATTTTTCTAATGGAATCAGCTACACCGAACAGATTTTTAAAGGGGAGGAAGACTAAACACTAGCCCAGGCAATGCAACTAGTCCTCTCCTTTCCACTTGTTTCAGAATTACAGTGTCACGAAGAAATGTTGATGAAACCACTTTCCTAAATCCACACTTTTTAAGTGTTAAATACATTAGAAGGCTAAAATTTCATGTAAACATATGGCAGTATTATCATATGAATGTAGACAATAAAGTGTATTCTTCAAACATAAATTTTATTGAATATACCTGCTATTATTTTCATCAATTTCTCAAGAATATCTGGTACTGTTTGTTTTTTTTAAATCAATTTATTGGGGCTCATACAATTCATCACAATACATAGATCAATTGTGTAGAGCACATCTATACATTTGTTGCCCTCATTCCCAAAATTCGCTTGCCTCTTGGGTTCCCAGAATCAGCTCATTTT